CATCGCAATAAGGAATAAAAACTCGTCTGTGCTTTCAGGGCTATTGAAATTTTGTTTATATTGGCTATGCCCAGAACTACCTATACTTGCATATAAGTTTTAGTTTCGTTGAACCATGTAAATTAGTTAAATTTAAAATGCTTTCTATTGTTTTGTATAAAAGATCCTGCAAATCTACTTCTGCAGAAATATCAGATACAATTATATTGGAAGAAAAAATTTCTTTTTTCGCTTCTTTTAGTTGAAAATAGCTGGGAAGAAAATTTTGGGTTTTAGCATTAATGGCCGATCTAAGAATTATGTATTTTCTGACAGATATATCCAAATCTAACATAAGTGCCAAAGCTTCAATGGGAGTAAAACTTGCAGTAGATTGAACCTGATTACTCGTACTTCCCGAAGCTACAATTTGTGAAGCGAACTGTAGTTCATCTGCACTTCTGTCCGCTAATTCGGCTGCGCGTCTTTTTTTTCTTTTAACTGAAGCCTCTTCAAAAAGAACCCGGGGTCTTCCTCTCCGATTTAAACTGGTCTGAGCTTGTTCTTGGTTTAAACATGGATTTTCTGGTAAATTGTTTTCGTAATATATAATTTGGTTCAGCCAGGCCACCTCTTTTTCCAAAAGTCGCTTGCCGGAGCGACATACTTTGTCGTAAAATCAAAATAAATAAGAACTATAAGTTCAGATTTTCACGAAATTATATTTTATAACATGACAATTGTTTCGACAACACGGTGTCTTTATCAAATGTAATATTTACAAACTACCTGCTACTATATATACCGAAAAATGACCATAAAACCTTAATTAATGTTGTGGCGAGAATTTAAGTTCATTTTAAGTTTAAGGTATTTAAATCTAATTGATCGTTAAGCAATACATTTGAATGTCTCATTTTGTTAATCTCCATGGCTTCCAATAAATTTAATTTTCTACTTTTTGTGGCTGTGTGTTTTTATAAATTGTGCTACACACTTAAACACAGAAAAACACATTTTTGACAACAATTTTGATATATTACACACAGCCACAAAAAGTATAAAATTAAATTTATTGGAAGTCATGGAGATTAACAAAATGAGACATTCAAATGTATTGCTTAACGATCAATTAGATTTAAATACCTGTCGTTTATTGAACTTAAATTCTCCCAACAACATTAATTAAGGTTTTATGGTCATTTTTCGGTATATATAGTACCAGGTAGTTTGTAAATATTACATTTGATAAAGACACGGTGTTGTGTTGTTGCCTCCTCAGTTCAATACTTTGTCGTATTTAGTGGCCATTTTTAACCCAAAAATCTTGCTACAGTTCATAATTTGATCTTTTAAACTGTTGGACGGTTCTTCAATATCAAGTAGGGAAATGATTTTATCATAAACCGACTGTTTTCGATAACCTTTTGGAGTTTTTAACCAAACTTCTATTAGGTCTTTATTTTTTATTGTAACATCTGTCACTAAAAAAAATTATAACTCCGTTAATCGCAACTCAAAGCAAGAATAATACTAAACACTTAAAAAATAACTTTGAATAGCAGTAAAAGTCGCGCTAAATATTTAATTCTCGGCTAACGTTAACAGTTGTCAAACTTTGGTGGCGTGGTTTGTATGTTATGATCTGCCCAACGTTGTAACACAAATGCTAAAAATAAAAAGTCGAAAATTAACTTTTTAGGTAATTTTGTGCACGGTATATCACACTGTGCGTCATCTCGAATGGTAGTTTCTCTAAACATGTTCCGGCGGTGCCTTATAACAAGGCCCACCCTTTTCGGCTCGTTCGTCACAATACACGGAAAGACCACCGGAAAGCTTTCTTACTTCTTCAAGTTCACGATGTCCCTTACATTCTAATTAACACAACTAACACAGACCATAGATTTATGCTCGGCCAGTTATTATAACACAAAAGGTGTATGTTAAATCAATGATCAATGTTGATAAGGATCTATGTTCGCGTGTTGTTAATACGAGGCAGTTAACGTTATCGATATTGGGTCACCAAGGGATAACTTTATTGTGCACTAATATACAATTCTCCCAACAACAACTTCACATGTTATTTGCGTACACGATTGAATTTTTTAATTTTATAAATCAACAATTCCGACTAATAAATGAATGCTTCTTCATAGCTATAGTGAAAAGTTGAATTTTTATCGTATGCAGACAATCGGAGCTATCCTCCAATTATCAGATGTGCCCGTACTTATATTTTTCTCTTGTTGCAACAAACAACTTGAATTGATCCTTTTCATTTTGATTCTCTGTGCGTTCCTTTTATTGGACAGCATTAATTGTACGTTCATTAAGTGGAAAAATCTTTTTGACAAAATAAGATGATTCCATATTGAGAGCTCAGACTTTTTTTTGAAATCCAAAAACACTGGTTACAAAATATGCATATTGTTTCTTCAATTAAAAAAGTATTCTTCAATTTTAAAATTACTTTCGGAGAAATTGACGTTTGTTGTACTACTCCTATTTGATTTTTTTTTTGTTTTCAAATATATATTGTTGTTTCGCTGGATAATTTTAGAAATTTAATCTTATAACATGAACACTTTAGAACGAGAGCAGCGCGCTTTCTGTGTTGATTATTTTTTCGAGATAGAGTTTGCTTAAAAAATGTGTAAATTAGTTTAATGTCCGATTAAACGGATTTCAGGACAGCGGTTACTGGAATTAAGTTGTTAAATAAATCTTGCTTAAAATTTAAATGTATTATCATCCAGATAAAACAACAAAACTGGGTTTTCCAAATAACGTAAAATCATCATTTAAACGTTACTTAAACAGTCAGTTATAAAAAGTCTGCAAAGTTTGCTCGTACGCATACTTCCGCTATTAGCAACAATAATAATTGTAGTTATTAGGATGTTAATAGAAAACCATAATTTTCCAAATTTTGTAATACTTTTTTTATAGTTTTCGAAAATCAATATTTCATAATTTAAGATCATTACAAAACTGATTGAACTATAGCCACTGGATTCTATTTTCTAGATACCCTCACACTAAATAAAAAGTTTTGAAAAAGTGGATTTTTCTATTTTACAATAAGATATTTGATACACTTTCTATATCGACGGTGAAGAGCACTAACACCTTTCTGTATTGAGTGAATTGGGAAAGTAATTTTCACTTTAAAAATTGACTTTTGTAAATTTATATGATGCTACATGACTTAAGCCTTCGTTATATTCCATCATGTTTTGGATATTTTCAGGGTGCTGCGGTAGTTACAGAAAAAATGAAAATTTACACTTTCTTCTAACATTACGGCCGCAATAGGAATATTCTCTACGCAATGGAACATCTATTTCTATAATAACAATTAAAGTCGCTTAGAGCTAAAACATACAACTATTATTTGTATACTAATAGCATTTATAACGTCTTTTACTTATATCGGTCGATTGTTTATGATTATTGGGATCATTCGAGTAATACGCACCCTACACTTTACTGCACTCTATCGCGCTGCTATTCGCTTTTATAGATCGCGGCGTCTGCTCACTATAGGTATCGAACTTTCAAGTCGACTCTCGACAGGCGGACTCTGTAATTAGGCGTACGTTCCCACGTTTTGGAACTTTTTTGGTCTCAGGTAGAGCTTGTTCAGGTCGCTCATCACAATACTACATAATTAGAAATGTTCTATAAATCTTTAATTTGTTGCGAACATTTGCGAATATTGTAGGCAGAAATTTTTGGTACTGCAATTGACTTTTGTTCACCTCTATCACCAGCGTCTCGTCCATCGTCCCATCAGCAGCGCTGTGGCCCGTTTTCCTCTTCAATTGGCTAAAACTGCGCAATTTTGAAATTGCAACAGTCACCACTCGGTAAAATGTTCTTGAGAATAATTCTTTCCGTCTCCCAGGAGATTGTCGAGGGGCTGAGGATCCCTAGCGCCTCCAATCAGTCCATGGTCTTTTTGAGGTTGAGGTTTCATCCACCGTTACTAATCTTTCTAGAGCATTCCTATTTCCTCAATCAAAATAGACTAATAATTGTGGAAATTATGTTCCTAGTTCGATCATTAAAGATCAGTAAAAACCAATAACGAAAAGTAAAAAGTAAGGCCAAGTCAGTTTATTACAGTTTCAGTTGACGATCATGATAATTCGATTAACTTTTAATGTTGCTGTTTGCGGTCATAAACGTTTTGTGACCATTGAAATCATTATTATATAAATTTTGATGTCTCGTTTATTGCAAGCCCTTAATTTAATTGCAATTAAGCCTAACTGTTTTCGCAATAAAAGATCCAGCAGACTTATCATGGGTTTTCCGATAATTCTGCTGAAAATTTGGTTTATTGAGTTTTCAGTTACTGGTAGTCAAAATAACGCGATCTTGAATATTTCATGGTGCCTCATGACTTCTGCGTATGTTTTTTTAAAGAAACAGTCAATTTAACAATTTATTCAATCATTGTTTTAGATAATGTGTCTGTGGCACTGAAAAATAACTTTCTTGGAATATTACGAGCAAAATTGGAATATATTATATTTAAAAGTTCTATAAGAAACTACTGAAACCGTTGAAATCTTTATTTTATTTGTCTAGTGGTCCCGATCGTCCCTAAAGCCGTAATAATGTTATTTAAGTTTTCCATTTATTGGATTTTACCTTGAAAACCTGAAAAATACATCCCCTACAAAATAGGGGCCTCGCGTTCTTATAACAATTGGAAGTGTGCGCCTATAGACCGACTGGTCTCAGCGGCAGGCCGATAAGACGATCCCCGAAACATAAAAACTTATCGGAGTGCCCGCGATATTTGAAAAAAGCATTTATTTCAGTCCACACGAGTGATGGAAAATGCGTAAGTTGAGAAACAACTTTAGAATAAATTGCAAATTCGATGCCTAGCAGGATGCGAATTGTATCCATAATCTTGATCTTGATAGGCACATTTAGGTCATTGGATTGAATTGTACTCATCTAATCTTAATAAATAAATATAACGGCCAATAGTTACCGACCTGGGGGTCTGCTTCTGCCCTCACCGACGACCGCGTCCACTAACGCGTGCAGCTGATACTTCTCCGCCTCCCTCTTCAGCCTCTCTTTCTCCCGAAAACAATCTGGAAGCACGATGGTCCCGTCCCGCAAGAAATCCAACACGTACCGAAACAAAACACCGTCGCGGTCCAGGAAGTAGCGCCCCTTGGCGTCCCTCTCTACCGGCTCCTTACCCGTGAAAAGATTGAATAGTTGCGATTCTTCCTGGCTGGTCAGCGTCTTCAGCGAGGTGGTGTAGAAGACACCGCCGACGTTTAGGTCGATGACGGTCGGAAAATCGGCCGTCCCGACGCAGTTGCTGGACATGGCGGCGACGGCAGACGCTCACGGGGACCCAGCGACGCCTGGACTGACGTTTGAGAACGGATCGCATCCGGATAGAGTCGACTCGCGCAGAGCCGAAAATCGAACTTTGTGTGTTTACGTTATTTGTTACGGGCGCACGACTGCGTTTGTGTTTTTGACGCGGTACATTTAATGAAGCGTCAGGGTTGAGGGTTAATTTTGGGGCCATGTATGCTATTTGTAATCGAATTTCGTAGAAATTCGAAACAATGGGACTATTTAACGGATATTTAATTGGACCGTGACGTTGTTTCTCGAGTTCAGTAGCGCACGTTTTGGCATCCGATTAGTGGGGAGCGCTACTGGAACGACTACCATCCCTTCCATGCAAATAAAAATACGCGTTTACTGACCTAGCAACACTCGAGTGACTCTTATAATACGACCAAAAATATAGTGCATTTATTTCTTTGACGTTTTAAGTATTTTACAGTATCTTAACCGCAGACCTTTGTGGGAAAACCCATCCCAACAGATGTTCATTCTGCATTAAGTAGGTTTTGCCAGAGATGGAACGTAACGAATATTTGTAGAAGCTTGAAATTTTTATTTGAAAAGTAAATGGACCGTTCTTAATTAATTGAGTGGATGTTGCGAGGTATTTTCGAATAAGTAGAATCGTTTATTTTAATATCTAAATCGCATAATATTATGAAGGTATTTATTTGACTCTGATCCTTCCAGTAAGTACGTATTTATGTACCTGGTTGTCAAACTTTGACCCTGCAAGGCTATCTTCAAGGGATAGTTCAAAGGGTAAGGGTAAGTCCCTGTACTCTATTTATCTTACAAGTAAATTTGAAAATAATCATTTTTATCTTGTGTGCCTACCCATTAACAACCTTCTTCTTCTTGTATTTTTCTGTCTTCTACATATTTCTTCGATTTGTAAACAACCATAGTCTTTTCAAGACATTAAATTAAACATTTTTTGAAGGTTCCTGTGTGGAATGAAGTACATGTTCCCGTGTTACAAGAAGACATGGAAAACAACGCAGAAATTGAAGACGAAGTGGAGATGGTAGTCGAACCTAACGACAATTTAGAAGATGGATAACCTCAGCAAATAAAAAAACGGATCCATTTGTCTTCGCATGCTGAACAAATTGTTTTGAATGTTTACAACTTTATAAGAAATTCAGAAATGGAAGTGACATGACCAAATTTCCGAAGTCAACTGTAAGAAAAATTGAGGAAAGTGAAAGAAGATGCTGGTACTTCGCGAGTTTTTAAAGAGCAACGCGCAGATCTAATTGGGCGTATAATCTACGACACTTATAAAATGAATAGTGTTTTAGCATTAGAAGAACTGCATAAAAAAGTACTGACAGACTTAAACATTAGATGTGCCAAAGAGTCGTTGCGTACAAACTTTTAATAGAAGTGAAGTGGATTATTTAAATTCAATTGAAAAATTTCTAGAGTAAAATAGGCGAATAGTTTATTTAGACGAAACGACACGACAGAGTAAAAAAAATGGTGTGATGACAGTAACACGTGTTTGCTAAACGTGCCGCCTTCACTTGGAAAACGCATAATAATTCTTCATGCTAGGTCCAAAAATGGTTGGGCGGAAGATGCCTTATTTTTGTCTACCAAAAACGTCAAAGATTCAAATGTGGATTACCATAAAAACATGTCCGTGCATATATTTGAAAGTAAACTGTTGCCAAAACTAACGCCAAATACTGTTATTATGTTGGATGATGCCTCGTATCATTCAGCCCAAATTAGAAAAAATCCAATTGCGTCTTCAAATAAAGAAGAAATTAAAGAATTTCTGTACGAAAATGATTTGTATACAACTTCTGGAATTATTAAAAATGAAACATTCGATTCGATAGCACAACAAACCGGACCTGAAATCTTGAGATTACTCCCGTATATTTAACCCAATTGAGATGAAAATAACACTGCATCAAAATTTAGTGATACTGATAGTTAGTAGTAATAATAATAATAATAATAATAATAATAATAATAATAATAATAATTATTATTATTATTATTATTATTATTATTATTATTATTATTATTATAGTAATTAGTAGTAATAATCAGTATAGAGCTGGTTAAACTGAAAAACGGGTAATAAAAGTTGATCATTGAACTAGGTGACGGCAGTAGCGACAGTGACGATTTTTTAAGTGACTGATACTTTGATGATACTATGATACTATGTAGAAATGTAATGAAATAGAACGTAGTAAATTGTTACTTTGTACTAATTTTTTTATGTACATGTGTCAAGAATTGCTCAGCGAGAAAGATTGAAAACATACTTATATCCCGCTTGTTAGTATAGGTCGATAAATTCCTAGGACGGTCCTGGAATAGTTACGGATAAGGTTCTGCTCGGCAGGGTGTTTTATAAGGGGTTGCGGTTTTGGAGTAATAAACAGTAGGCAAAGTTAATCATGGGGTCGGTTGTAAAACACAATATTTCTAGTCCATGGTATACCTGTTGTTTTTTCAGGCGTCACATCCAAGAAGTGCTCACCCGGGTACGGCTGGATAATATCATAGATGTTTCCCTAAGACTGCGCCCTCATGTATTACCATCTTTTCCATGCATATAAAAATACGCGTTTACTGACCTACCAAAACTCGAGTGACCATTACCCACGTACCTACCCACCTAGGTTGTTATTTGCCCTCTATAAGTCTGGACCGATAGTATCTGGAATTTACATTCCAAGTTTTAAGAAGTTCTCCATCCAGGTTCCGTGCCAATTATGCCTATCTCGTAAGCGTTAAGAACTACGAGGTAATTTAAAGACCCTCTTTTTCATATATAAATTAGGTCTAATTTGTCAATATTTTTGAAATTACTAGTAGTGTTTCCACAGTTCTATATACTACGCAGAGCTAATAGGCAATGTTGACTTGCTAGTGCAATATTTTTCAGTCTAATTATAATTTTCTTTTTATGAAAAGAAGGTGTGAAAACATCAGAAATTATTGAGCGTGTGCAAGGAGTATTTGGTAAATCTGCATTATCTAAAGGTACTGTTGATCGATGGATCGATCGAAGCACGACCTACTGGAAAAGCACAGGCGAATGATTATTCGTCAAATTAGTGTGCCCTTGGGGATAGCTACATAACAAGCTCAATACATCCTGTTAGTTGTGGGGACCAGAACACAAAAGTAGATATATGTATGTTTGGGGACAATCCCACTCCTCTCCCTTTTGTGGGCGTGTCCTCCTTCCCCACGACTCTCTAGCTCCTCCCCCTTTACCCATAATCCCTTGAAACTGGCTCCCATTGGATAAGCAAGCACCAATGGGGTTTAATCAATCTCCCCACCTCTAGTTTGCGATTGCGGCGAAGCCAATCAGAGCCCAGATATTTTCCCACCCGTATGAAAAGCAATGGCGTCAATGAGACTTGATCATATTGTTCTCGTGACCATCTGCACCCTCTAGCGGTTCGAATGTAAACTAGTGTCCCCTCTTGGAATAAGATTTTCTTTAATAAGGTAACCCACCTAGTGAATATTGACCAAAACATTTATTTTAAAAACATATAATTCTGCGAATGTGTACCCTCGCGGGTACAAACTGTACTTTTATTGCGCACAAAGGACAGGGGAAATAAAGACGAAAAGTGTCGGATTTCTTTTCTCGGAACTGGAAGCTGGCAGGCACCACCAATAATATCTGCAAAACAAAAAGCTGGTTAAAATTTTCATTAATAAAGTAGGATATTAGAAACCATATACCTTTTTAATTTACTAAGCCATCTACCGTGCGTTAACTTCATACATATTTCCGCATGCTTCTGTTTTAAGGTATCGTGAAATATTTGACTATTTATCTGGGAAAAGTTCATATGTCGAAAATATTATGTGTATGTGGCCGTGGTAGGCTTTCTTTGCTATTATAATTTTATTTTTATTATCTAATATTTACAAAATTAATTTATCTACCTTATTGATGATTTTGATTTTCTTTGCTATTTTTATTATTTAATATTTTCAAAATTAATTTATCTATCTTTTTGATGATTTTAAGATATTGCAGTCAACTTTACTATTTCATCAATTTCTTTTATTTATTGCTGATCTTTGAGGATAGTGTACATACTTTTTTTTTTCGTAACTTATCTGTATCTACCCTTTAATTTCCTATCAAGCCATAAAGCAAACTCGAAAGGCATCTTAACTAAAAAGTCATATACTTTAAAGCTGCTGCGACTACTACATGAAAGTGTGTTTCTATGCAATCTCAACAATAATGAAATCTGAACGCTTATATTAAATACTGTAATACTCTTCTCCGCTAACGCTCTAGGAGACGCTATTTGAACCCTGTTCAAAGAAAAACTTCTACAGCCCAAATAACCTCTCTGAACCACACTTAAGCGCATCACTCTTTCACTGTCTTGCAGCCTTCAGATTAATATTCCGTACTAACTACGTATGCCATACACGAAACGTTCTCTTTTCTAATTTTTTTCTATGCGCTACATTAACGAACAGGATCTAAACTTTTCTGTCTGTGTATTTTGTTAGCCACCTTAAAAAAATTAAAAAAAAGGTATGCGAACCTAGAGGATATTTTCCATATTTTTCACAAATGGTGACAACAATTAATGCAAGTATTATTTTTAATAATAATCCATCTTTCGCTATGACACGAAAACATCGACTTTTTAATTCTAACTTTTCTCATAGAGCTTCCCTTTAGTCTCTATCTGTTCTTTAACTAAATCGCCACCTTTTTGAAAAACCAACCTCTAAAAATAGTTAATTTTCTCTAATTTAAATTTGTACGTTTTCCGCAATATGTGTGAATATTTTCGCTAGAGCATTTAGTTACTTAGTACATGTCCTAATCAATATTTTAAAAATATAATTCTATTGATACGTGTTTAGGATTTGAAGATAACGAAACATTCCCCAGTTTCATAAATGAGAGCTCACTGCCAAACTACCAAACATCACAGTACAAACTACCGTACTACGCCCCCCTGGACAAAATCAGGTCAGTCAGCGTCATTAATTCTA